CTTACCTCATTAAACAATCTGCAAAGTTAATAACAAAACTTTTTTTTATGTCTTCCAGCTGAGAAGCCGAGCACGGTGCGTAACGACTACCTGCTGTGTCCCGCCCCGAAGCTCTATGAAGTCGGACAGTAAGTAGGACGTTGTTTTATTATCGTATATGGAGAAGCCGTCACAAACAGTCTCTGCTAACAGTGATGCTAACATATCAGAGAAAGCTTTATGTGATATAGTATAACGCATCATAGTGTTGTAAATGTTGTGTAACTGTTCTATTTAAATCTTTTTGTTCGAGTCATGAAGAAGAAAGATCAGTTTGACTGAGTGTAATTATTTTATTGTAATCGTGAATTGAAGATCAGATTCATCACCTAACATGACAGATGACATATGTGTCAGTCATGTGTGCAGTGTTGTCCACAGCTGTGGCTTTGATGTTTTTATTACACTTTCTTTCAGCGTTTTAACGTTTGGCTCACTCACTTCAGAAAGGTTGAAGGGTGTTTCTTACATCTCTTCCTTACTTTTTACATTTTAAGTAGTTGCTTAGGTAACATGATGACATCACAATGTCCACAGAGATGAAACCCCTCACTGACCTAAGATGTACTTGTGTGCTAAGTTTGGTTGCTCAACAGCTGATGAGGCAGAAGTTTATGTGTATATCATGCAGAGCTCCAGATATGATGCAAAGGCGAGGTCAGCTAGAGGTCAGCTTCCGTGCACACCTTTAATTTAATTAAGACATTTAAAATTATTCAAGGTAAACATATATATACACTTCAGTATATTCTTTTTTTTGCCATAACACTTGGTGAGCATGAACAAAAGTGAACTTTCTTGGCTGTAAATATTCACTGTGTGTGGAAATGCAGCAGTGTCTTCAGGAAGCATGTTCTCAGAAACATATGACATGATATATGCAGCTCATGTGTGTTTCTATAGATACATTTATGTTTTCATCTTGGCACGACGACAAGATGAGACGTGTGAAGTCTCAGTGACAGGATCGTGCTGGCGTCTACAAATAGGGACAATCTAAATAGATTCAATATGCTGCCCTATAAATTGTTACGGCGAAGGAAAGAAGGGAATGTTGTGTAGGATAAATGCCAGAGCTCAGTGTTTGTTTTTCAGCTTTATGTTGAATTTGGGAAGCTTAAATCAGTCGGTGAATCATATATAAGGTCACGTCCTTTGTAGTAGTTACTTCCCCTTTCTTACATTTCCCACATCAAGAATCTTCCCCCCAAAAAAGCAAACTTCCCTTTTCTGGAGAATTTAAGCTTCTTCTGTGCAGCTCAGGTCTCTGTGTTTGTTTGTTTTCTTCTTATTTTTATTTAAATCTATCACACGTCTCTAAAGTTTTACTGAAACATTGAAGTCTTGGTTTCTCTCGTGCACATTTTCTATTTTTTTCCACTCAGTTTTTCAAAAGTCTTTTGTGCAAACAATCAGCTCCTAAGTCTGTAAATTAGCTGTATGTTAAAGACGCAGTAAACAGTGTAGAAGAGACAAACACCCCATACATACAAGCCGCAAACACTCTAGTGAAAACAGTGCAAATACGCGTTTATTCCAGCCCGCGTTGCTGTTGTTTGATTTTAACGGCATCTCTTATAATCCCAAACCATAGCAGATGATCGCTAAGGCATTATAGATGGAACAACAGATTTTAATGTCCTTGCTGACTGCAATCCAATCAAAAATGTATGATTATGAGTGCCGCTGGCTCCTGAAGGTCTTCCAGCTCTAAATGAGATTGTGTATAATACAGTATGACGGCGACGACGCCGTAACTACAGCGATTCAACTTGAACCTCACCTCAGTTAATCTGCTCGTGTCAAAAATCTAAAGTGTTCATGAAAACATGATATTTTCATTTTTTTTATATTTTATAAAAACAGTAAACTACAGAGAAGAGATGGAAACATACAGACTCTAAGAAGCATCATTTAAATGCAAACACATGCATCAATGCATTAATAACACAGGTCGTAAAAAAATTATTTTCAGTTGCATGACATATTTTTGGTCAATTTTAGGAATTTTAGGGTGCTGAATCCAAAAATGATCTCCATTTCCATCCACCACGTACAGTTTTTGCAAAACAGCAGGAGTTTACATTAAATAAACTACAACAGCGATGAAAAAAATCAGTTTTTATTACAAGTAACTATGCATAATTTTTCGGAGATTCCTCACCTTTCACTATGAACAAAATAAGCCTGATAGGGCCTGCTGATACTTGAGTCAAAGTATAGATAGATTTCAGTTTAAGGCAAACTATGCACTTAATTACACTAAAAGCATGAGTTTTGCAAGGAAACCTAT